AAACTAGTATTCATGTATTAGGTGACTAATACCTTGATGATTTTTAGAAAGCGGTTTGATCTTTCGTCCATGGTGGAAGTGCATGAATACGAAATAGTTCTAGAGATTGTATGGATTCGTATAATAAAAAGTATGAAAACATTCATATATTATTTTTTTTTGGTGAACGAAAAAGGAAATATATTATTCTGGAGATTGTATGAAAACATTCATATAATAAAAAGTTCACGTCGCAGTACTATGTTTGGTTTTAACATGAATTTAGTAGAGCAGTGATCAAGTTATGCGAAGAAACTAAAAAAAACAAATGACAAAATAAATAATTTTCCCCAATAGATATGTCCAAAAAATAAAAAATAAAGAACGTTCACAATTCAAAAATTGAGGTTTCAAGTACACAGCAGTATTACATTGTGTACGAAGCCCTCTTTGTTTGTATACATTAAAAAAAAAAAACAGTTGCTTCTCTTTCTTTCTTTGGGTTTTCTTTGTCTCATGCATTGCCAATCCAAAAAAACTCCAATGCTCAAAACTTCACGCAATAACCAAAAAAACAGCCATAAAATGTTAACATTCAAACTTGTTATGCATCTTTATTATTCTCACCATCAACCTCATCCTTGTCCTCCTCGTCCGCCTTGGTCGGCATTTCTTCATCTTGGACGCCTGGAGTAGTAGACTCAGAAACCCCATCAAGGGACAAATTGGAGATTTCACCCGCAACAGAGTTTGAGTCGCCTTCATCAGTAGCATCTTCTGAGACAGTAGACTCTGTGTCTGATTGTTGCTGGAGACTCCAGTACATGATGCTAGCCGCCAAAATAAGCATCATCTTCTGGTTCACCTGTTTACACAACCAAACATTGACTGAGTAGCCGGAAGAAAAAGTATTCATGCCTGTTTCCATATATATATATTTATCTACCTCTATGATATCCTCAGGTAACAAGAATATGGAGCATCCGAGCTTCCGTGCAACACTGATGATGTATGTGGCATTCAACTTCTTTTCCTCCTCTGTTTAAATGCCAACAACCAAACAGAACTCACTCGTTAAAATGGCATTCACACCAGAGAATAAGAAGCATCCAGCAACAATAGAGAAGAAACAAGCAATGAAGTTGAAACATCATAGTTTACCTGTTTCTCCATTGGTGACCAGGCTCCAGTTGACAACTCTTGGCTCTACCGCACTCAGAAGTTCCAGAAAGAACATTCCCGTTGACAGGTTCTTGTCCTAATATCAGAGAAAAACAACCATCAATAATCTGTTAGGTTTCTGAATATAAGTCTCCACAAATCACATGGGTACTTGGTTTGAAACTTACCCTAAAGCTGTCAGCTTGACAAGTTCGACCCGCTCTCTTTACTTTCCTATTCGCCCAGTTTAGAATATCTGCATCTGTAATTTCTTTACCTTGCGAGTGAGATCTCAAGTTCTTCAGAAGTTGGAGCATTGTATATCTCATTAGTTGCCACAAAAATGCTGCAGAATCATTGATGATACGAGAAATTACATATTGTTCTACCAATTAGAATCAATTTGCAATAACCAGATACAAAGAGACAGTGAAAAAAACAATACTAACAGTTATTAATGTGAGAGAAATATCTTAAGTCAACGAGTCTGATATATGGAAGTTCATTATGTTATTAGTGTGCCTTTAAGGAGTACTCACCGAGAAGGAGTTTCTTATTTCCTTGCACAATGTCATTACCAGCTACATTGACAAGGGAGAAGCGCAGTTCTTTCCCAATCTTTATAACTTCATTGCAGTTCTCAACCTTCTTGAATGGCATTTTTATGGGAGGTTTATTTGCAAGTTTCCAGTTGACTGAGCCAGGTGAAACTTTATCGAGAACTTCAAGAAGAACCCACCTGGATGATATTAAGTTTAGATACAAGCAGATAAAAAAATAACATTTCCTGAAACAGATTTCCATTGCTCACCCATTCCTAAGATCCTCAAAAACATTGTTGACATAAGTGGCAGTGCCAAGACTGTTAATCCAGAGGCGGAAACATCTTTCTTCTCGTGAAGTTTCAACATCATCTGTCATCATCTCAGCAAATGACGTCTTTGAAGTGTCAACAGTCAATCCATTCCTGTAACAAAGAAAATAGAACTAGTAAAGCAGCAAAACCAAAATCACTATCAGCTTTCTGACTCATTTGGAAACCCTGCCAAAACACTATCAGAGGTATAATCAAACGCCAAGAATACCACATTGATCACGCAATAACCATTGGAAGTTCGAGATAATTAATAATCCCAACAGTCAAGTTTGCTACTGACCTGTGCTGGAATATTTGCGCCACAAATGCAAGGTTAAGATTTGCTGAGCCGTCCACTATATCTTTAGGAGAGAGGTATCTTTTACAATCCAACTTCTCAGCCTGCTCAAGCACCTTTTTCGCTCTTTCTGTGGGGTCTTTGGTTTCTAATGCCACATGTGTACTATGTTCTGGAGCTAGAGCATTAAGCAGGTATGCATATGCCTCACCATCCTGCAAACAGAAAAGAGAACTGAGGTTATGATCAGCTAAAAAGTGGAACATTATAGTTTCTGAACAAACCATGGACATGTACCCAAAAAAGTAAAAAAGCATCACTATAAAGACTGTTATAAAGTCGTAACTCATGAGTAACGCTGCATCTAATAAAAGAAAATATATGTTATTGAGGACCAAGGGAAGCAGGGGCAAGTTACCTTCACGTCAGAAGAAAAATTTGTAACCTGCTTTTCATAACCAGCTTTCTTCAGATGAAAATTCATCCATTTTAGCAAAACTTTTTCAGGAGCCAATCCCATGAGCTCCTCCGCATCCTGCAACGTCATGAAGAATTTATGTAGCTTCAATCTAATGAAAATAAATCCTCATAGAAAGAGTAGAAAACAAGTCAAATATATTTACCTGAGTGTCATCCACCAATTCAAAAAGTGATGGAGTTTTCTTAAAATTGAGATCAGCCAACAATTGGATCTGATATTTTTCCCCAAGAACAACAAAAATGTAAGGAGTTGGTAAGTTTTATAACAATCCAACATTAACAAAATGTAACCATCATATTATTTCCTATGAGCCGGAAAGTAATGTAAAAACGGAAACGCTTAAGGTAAAGTACCTTAATAATTTGAGATATCAACCCAAGAACGAGATATGGCTGCC